GGATTATATTATGTTATTTATGGGCAAACTAAAATGGAGAATTAAGACAAATAGGACAAATGGTCCCAATCCACTACTGAGGAAAAAAAAACTGACTTAAAATAAAAAATGATTGGACTTATCCAGTAATTGGACTTATCTGGGCAATTTTGTCATCTCTCAATTTGTCACAATAATGGCAAATATTTCTTGAGGGCTTACTATATGATAGGCATTGTGCTGATTTCAACTAATTGGCTCATTTAATCCTCCCTCAGATCCTATAAGATAGGTGCTATTACAACACCCACTTCAGCTCAGAGACATTATAGTATTTTCCCAAATTAACGCAGGTAGCAAGTAGTAGAACCAAGATTCCTTCTCAGGTCTGTTGGGCTCAGCTCTTAACTATTATGCCCAGTGATCACAGAATAGTAGAAATGATGAAAATTTAGGAGGCAAGTAAACTCAATAGGCTGTTTATCATGATTTTTAAAACCTGCTACAGAAGTACGCTATGTATAAACTTCAAAGTTTGCTCAGGAGAAATATCATCCAATCTCAAAGATGAGAAAGCACAGCTCAGAGAAGTCAGGAAGTTTAAGAGGCCGATATATAATGAAATACAACTCTTTCAACTCCTATCTAAATAAAGGCCAAAACAACTTTAACCGTCTAGTATCAATAATGTCATACTTAGGGCGCCTGGGTGGCTCAGTTGGTTAAGCGACTGCCTTCGGCTCAGGAGTCCCGCATCGGGCTCCCTGCTCAGCAGGGAGTCTGCTTCTCCCTCTGACCCTCCCCCCTCTCATGCTCTCTCTCTCTCTCATTCTTTCTCTCAAATAAATAAATAAATAAATAAAATCTTTTAAAAAAAATAATAATGTCATACTTAAACAGTGACTCTACCTGGTCCAGGATGACGACATTCAGTTTTTCCTGATGGTTTTGTTATTGGATCTGGCCCTGTCAGATTTTAAATTCCATTCTTAAAAGGGAGGCTTAAATTTTTTTAAGGCAACCTTGTTGGGGCCAGGGAGGGGGGCGGGGGGTGGGTGCAGGGGGGGCGCCTGGGTGGCTCAGTTGGTTAAGTGTTCAACTCTTGGTTTCCGTTCAGGTAATGATCTCTCTCTCTCTCTCAAATAAAATAAATAAATATTTAAAAAAATAAAGCAACCTTGGGTAATACTAAATTCACACAAGTTTAACAAGTAGTCATCATGGGGCAAAATACAGTTGATAGTGGTTTTGTGTGCTGTTTGGGGACTGGATGTTTACCACACAGCAGTGGATTTCATAAATTCCAGGGTTGGGCATATTTCCAGTGGCAGCGCACTCAGCGATCATGAGAAGATGCAGGATTAGATAATCAACAACAACCAGGAAGTCAGCCAAGTTGCCACCCAGAAATTATTTACCAGAGCAGCTGCAGCCCAGAAATGCTCACAAGCCAGTCTCCCTAGGAGTGGGCCATACTCAGCTGTGGAACACTTACAGTATTTTCTTACTTAACCTTGTTCCAGAATCAGGAGCTATATGTATTACAGTGGTTTCTCCCTTCCCTGCTTCAGACCTTCAGAACAGTCTTCCCACAAAAGCTGAACCTACAATTAATATTTGCTACCAACAGGGGGCAGTGGTACCTGAATATGCCCCAGTTCACTTGCGCAGAAGGTAAGCAGCCTCTTCCTGTCCTGTTTCTTTTTAAATTGCTTACAGAAGTTGAAGTTCAAAAAGATAAACACTCAACAGAAACGCCTCCAGTCTCACAGAACCAATTTTTGTGTATAATTTAATACTACTTTATTAATCCATAGCTAGCATGAGTTTTAAGATTATTTCTAAATTCTCTGAACAGCTCTAAAGAGAGAAACCCTTAACTCCTTTAATTTACTTGCTTTGAAGTTGATTCTTCTAGGTTTTTATGTAATTCTCTAACTCTTACACCTTCTCATACAATTAAACATCCTTATAGCTGCCATTACAACTAAGGACTATATGTATTTTAGTCTCTCCCTCACTCAACTACCTAACTGAGGACTTGCCACTTGGTGGGAGAAAGACTGAACCCTCTCTCCAGTCCGTTTCTCCTAAACTTTCCTATATTTCCCTTGCCTGCAGTCATGGCGAAATGTTGATTGTCTCTAAGACAGTAATATTCCATTCTTTAGTGCAAATATCTTAACAAAAATCTGCTGTAGCAAAAATACATAGAATGATAAAATAATTACTATTCACAAGAGACTTACGTATGTTTCACAAACATTGGTTTTATTTAAAAGAATCATGCATACAGCACCCAAATTAGTGTGGATTCTGACTTAGCTGGGTGTGATTTAATGGTTTTTACTATATTTAAAGAAGCGTCCTTCCAACGCTAAAGAAAAATCAAGCTAAGTTTGGTCACAGAACAGGGCTCTAAATTCCCATCTGAACCACCTGACTTACCATGTGATGCACTGCATGTCATCCTAGGTGTCTCTTCACCCACACGGCTACTCATTCATTGTCCTAACCTTGTGGAACGTAAGGCATATTCATGGGAATGCCTGCAGGTGAGATTAAAAGAGCCTCTTTCCCATTTTAAAATCTCATAGTAACTATTACTACTGGCAAACCTATAACTACTACCCCCTCATATACATAGGAAGCTACGAAGTTTACAAAGTGCTGTGATCAAAGTCTTCTCGTTTCATCTTTAGGGCTGCTATTTATTCACACTCTCAAAAAATAATCTTCAGTGCCTATGGAGTTGTGCAGTATTCTTCATGCCAATTCTACAGGGGCTGACATAGACTCAGAAAGGTTAAGTAACTTGCCTAGATCCCCTGGTTGTCCAGGGCTCCCTGGCTGGGGTGGTTTTCTGATCCCTTGTCCTTCCATCAAAATGGAACTGCCCTTGTTTCTATCAAGCCCTCATCACTGCATAGTGTGATAAACTAATTTCAACCATGATGTTAATGATTGATAATGGCTTTATGTGTTTTTCTTCCCAAATAAGAAGAGCATTTTAAACCTTCAGTGCTTCCCAAATAATCACAGCCAAATGGGATGAGTAATATGACAGATGGATTGAACAAAGATTTGGTAAGAAGGGAAAGGAGGGGACACAGTAGTTTGCGATTCCTTAAATCACAGAATGCCAGTGGGTGCCTGATGACTCTGGACTTAAGGCCAGGAAGAGATAGCGCTTAGTGGCAATACTGGGCTAATAAAAGGGTTAGCAACCTCGGCATATGACAATGTCCTGTGCCGACTCTCCCCACCCTGCCCCTCTAGAATCTTTTTTTATTTTTTAAAGAATCCTCTTAATCACACTTCTCTAGGAGTGTAATGGTGCCCTCCCACACCCCACCCAAAATGTTCCCTGAGGACAGTCTTGTTAGCCAGTGCAGAGCAGAGGGGGAGATCAAATGATTCAAGCAGTCAGTTGATTCAGGCTAAAAAAAAAAAAAAAAAAAAAAAAATTCCTTTCCCTTAAATAATCCAAGACATTGCCCCTTCCTTCTGCCTTGCTTTGGAGACAGCCAATGAAAAATGCTCCTCCCTCTGCACAAGGCAGAAATTCATTCACTATTTCTACCCCGAGGCAAAGACTGCCATTCACCCTCCCCGCCTCTCCATCTCTCTGCATTACCAATCGCCACTTGATAATATCTTCCTTGACCTTGACCCCTGGCAACTCCATTCAGGCATATTCACTCTATAGCCACGTAAAAGATTGAAGGTCAGTCTGGACCAATTTTAGGAAGATTCAGGTTAAAACACGGAAATCCAAGAAAGACAGAAAACAGGGCTAAATCCCCCAGATGTAGCTGCCCACATTAGTTGAATTTACCAAATAACTGTTTGGGTTTCAAAGACACCGGTTATTCCTCTAATCTAACATATTATCTGGCAGCCTGCAAAAGCTTCCCAACCTTCTTCTCGACAGGACAGGACACACATAGACAATGCTAATATTTGTATAGTCTTCTGGTGTACACAGCTGGAGATTTAGAAGCTCAGAAAAAATCAGAGGCGACCAGCTCCAGGTCACTCAGGCCACTTTAGAGCTTGTCCAGACACTAAGAAAGCTGAGGAAGCCAACATTGTGGTAACCAGTTAGGAAGCTTCATCCAAAAGCCTTGTGTCCTCTTACCAACCAAGGTGCTGTCTCATCTCACCCTCCCCTCAGCCAGCCCCCTCTCTCTTCCTTCCCCACCCCAGTCACTCACCCAGCAACCCAGACCAGCCTCCCTCTCAGAGAAGCGTCCGCCCCCTCCCACCCCTGAGGCCATCAGCACCCTTTTCTTATTCTTAGGTGAACTAGTCCTAAGCCTGAAAACACCTAAGATTCGGTCTTTTCAATGTTATCTGCATTATCATCTTCAAGGACAAACACAAATTTCTCAGGGAACAGAACCGCGCTTAGCCCCTGCTTCTTCCTCCACAGGCTCATTCTCCGCCGCCACCGAGCCAGAGCTAGAAGGGGTCCTTCTCTAGCTGAACATATGTCCTGGAAACAGCCTGCTTCAGAGTCACCTTGGCAGCTTTTAAAAAATGCAAACTTCCAGCGAGCGCGTTGGCTGACTCAGTCATAAGAGCAAGCGCTTCCTGGGGTCCTGAGTTCCAGCCCCATGTTGGGTGTAGAAATTACTAAAAAAAAAAAAAAACTTTAAAAAAATGCAAATTTTAAGTCCCCCTTCCCTTGCATTACTAAGTCAGAATCCCCCGGAGGTAAGGCAGGGAATCTACGTTGTAAACCAGCTCCCAAAGGTGACCCTTCTGAACAGTTCCACGGCAGAGCAAATTCTGATTTAATCCAGCTCGGTCTCTTTACACACAAGGAAAGTACAAAACAGTCACAAAAGAGGTGAAATGAGCTGGTCCAAGGTCACCCCCGCATTCAGGTGGCCAGACCTGGCGTGGAACCCGCCTCCCTCCCTAGTTAGCACCGCCGGAGGTAGGAAGAGCCTGGATATCGGTGGGTGGGCCACTAGCCCCCTGCCAGGGCTGGAGCTCATGGCTCCTGCACTCACCCGCTTGTAGATGTCATCTCGGCTGGCCTCATACTTCTGCTGCATGCGCTCCTCCAGGAAGTAGATGCGCAGCTTGAGGCTGAAGTTCTCTTTCTTCAGGTCATTGAGATGCTGGGACAGAGTGCGATATCCATTAGACATGGTGGGCAACCCATGGGGAGCAGCATGCCCAGTCGCTCCCTCACCCTAGGAACATAGTGCGGCTGCACCGCGGCATGAAGCGAGCCGCTGGGACGCTGCTGAGGCTATGGCGACATGACCCCAGTGGCTGGCGCTCTCTCGGGGACCTGGGACTGGGCTCACTGCTCTGGGTGCTGGAGCGCAGCGCACTTTCCTTTTTTACCTCTGGGAGATATTTGCGGAATTCCTGACAGAGGAACATGCTGCGTGAACTCAGACACAAGTGGTGTAACCCGACTCCAAGCCGGACCGGGCTGTCACCCTCCCCAAGCCTCGCAGGCCCAACTAGAGGCAGTTAACAGTTTCTTGGAAAAGAGAGAGAACTGACCCCCCAGAAGCTTCCAGGAAATGGGGAACGGGAATACTTAAAGGTGCTGGTGGGCTTGCACAAAAGAGAAGAAAATGAAGGGCTGTGTGTGTGAGTGGGCACTTAAGTCTCTGGTGGCCCATTTGCACAATAAAACCCAAAGGGGAGGGAGTGCTTGGCTGGCTCAGTCGGTAGAGCTTGCCACTCTTGGTCTCAGGATCCCGAGTTCCAGCCCCACACTGGGGATAGAGTTTACTTAAAAAAAATAATAATAATAAGCAAACAAACAAAAAACAAACCAAAGGAGTGTGGCCAGGAGCAAGAAATAGGTTGCTATAGGAAAGAGCACATGTCAAATATCCCCTTTCTGTCAGGTGCAGATCTTAAAGACCTATTAACAGGAGGGGAGGGCTCTCCAATTTCCTTTGATGATCCAGAACTCACCTCTAATCAGTTTCTTCCCAGTTTTGCTCCCTGGACTTTTCAAGTCCAGAAGCAGTTAAATAAATAGTCTTTACCACCATGTGCCTCCCACCCCCATACACACCATAGCCACCCCCAAAGAAAGAGTAAATCTAGTTCCATGGAAATCTTTGCGAGCTATTACCAGCTAGACAAGCTCACAAAGAGGCAGGGTCAAAGGCTCCTTCCTCCAAGGGATGAGGGAAAGAGAGGGCTGAGGGAGGAGAGGGGAGGAGAGGAGGCGTCAGTCTGGAGCCCAGAGATTTCAGCCAGTCACTGGTTCTTACTCTGGCACCTGCCAAGTGGAGCCAGGCACTCATCACCAGATCCCGCTCGCAAAGCAATTTAAGATCCTTGAATGACAGCTGCAACATTAGCAGGAAGTATTATTTATACCACATCACACGGGACACTGAAGGTGACTGGGAGACCATCCCACAACACAGATACGAAACACAGGTTCCTAGTTCCAGTAATACCGGGTTGAAAAGCATTAATATTAACATCAAAGTAAAAGGAAACTAGACCTTTATACTTAAATCAAGTACTCACTTCTTCCCTAACCTACCTGTTCTTCAATCTTCTATCTTAATTCTTCATAATAATTCTAACCAACATCTCCTGGGTATCCACCGGGTAGTATGTTGGGCGTGACAAATAACAAAGATGAAGATAGTCCCAACTCTCAAAGAGCTGGTGGCTATACAGATGGAGGGATGTGTTTTCCACTAGAATCCTCCAAGCTTGTGTTACTCAAACTTTTTACATTTTATACTGCAGTCCGGTACACACACACACCCACACAGACAGACATAACTGAAAAGTTTCACAAAGTAATGTTACCATCACTATGTGTGATGTACTCTGGTGTTTCTCTATTCTATTTTTCTTCCTGGGAGTGACCCGCTGAATTGATTTCACGACCCACTAAGATGTTTCATACTGAAGTTCGAAAAACACTGCATGTATGGGAACCCAGGAGAAAGAGTGATTCATTCTTACTGGAAAGATGAGAAAAAAGCTTCACTGAGACTTGCACTGCCCTTAAAGATAGAAAAAGTTTGAGTGAATAAAGTGACCTCAGGAGGTCATCATTAGGACTGAGCATTCTCTCAAATAGATTTGGATTATATGTGGGCAACACATTTCTTACCATCAACTGTAACTTAAGACAAAATATTCCTCATTTCTAAAAAAATGTACATATTCAAAATTCATTTAGCTCTTTTCATTAAATCTGTGCTCTTGGAATTAAAGAGTGTCATTTAGGCTTAGAGAGAGCAAGGAAGAGGGAAGTCTAAATAAAAACTCAGAAGATCCTTTTCTGGTCTGAAAATAGCTTGTATTTGTTACTAAATAGCTGTAAGACCTTGGAAATGCATTTCTCCAGAGGCCCAAGTGTCCTCATTTATAAAATGAAGTGGTTGGAAAGTAGGTGATTTTTAAGGCCCTTTTCTGGTCTAAGCTCCTAGAGGAAATAACCTACTTATTATCTACTTACTACCTACCTACTACCATTTTGCACAAGGGGAACCAGGCTGCCAGATTCCAGATTAGTATTTAATCATGATTTCAATGTCTACTTAGATTCTTTTATCACAAAAGATAGCTTAATAAAAGTTCATGGAATGTAAAATTGCATATGAATGCAGGGATTCTTACCCAACCTAGGTATTTCTTTCTGTACATAAATGCCTGATTCGTCTTTTTTTTTTTTTTAAGATTTATTTTTATTTATTTTGAGAGAATGAGAATGAGAGAGAGAGAGAGAGAGAGAGAGAGAGCACATGAGAGGAGGGAGGGCCAGAGGGAGAAGCAGACTCCCCGCTGAGCAGGGAGCCCGATGTGGGACTCCATCCCGGGACTCCAGGATCATGGCCTGAGCCGAAGGCAGTAGCGCAACCAACTGAGCCACCCAGGCGCCCAATGCCTGATTCGTCTTATGCCCAGTGATACCTTGCTTTTCTATCTCTCTGGCCCTTTTTCTGTTTGTTTGTTTGTTTGTTTGTTTTTTCCAGCTCCTTAAGGTGAGTGCTTAAACAATGGTCAGTTCTTCCCCCTTCTGTTGTTTTTCTCTCCATACTTTGCCCCTCGAGATTTTATCCACTTTTAGGGCTATCACTGTGGCCTCCCAAACAACCCCCAAACCTTCACCTGAGCCCTCTCCCCCAAGAACTAGCCTGACATACCCAGCTTTTTGCTAGATAGCTCAACTTGAATGTTCCATTCTTAAGGCAAACCTCATAGCAAAGACTTTTGCCACAGTCTATCATGTCTGCCAGACTTCACTCCAGACATCTGTCCTCCATATTATAGGCAGAGTAATGTTTTCAAAACTCAAATCTTATCCTGACATCTCCCTTAGTTAAAACCCTTCACAGGCATCTCATCACTCTCAGAATAAGGAAAACGCTATCACATCCCCTCAAGAAACACCCCGTCTTTTTTCAAGCCCTAGTTCCAATCCCACCCAGACTGGGCTGCTACCCCAGCCCAGAAAGATGTCTCCCTCTTTTGAACTCCTCAGGCAAATATCAACATTCTGCAAGTGTTCATCGGGTGCCTCATGACATTGCTTATCTGTTGTCTGGAGGGGTTATTTACACCTCTTAGAGCTATTTAACTTTTCCTGTGTTTATGTCTCTCCAACTAGTCTGTGAGCTGCCCAATGAAAGGGTCAATGACTCACACATCTTTCTCTCCTCCTTCAGCTCCCACAACAGCCAGGAAGCCCTCCCCAGTGACATGCATCGCCCTGTGGAGTCACAGCCGGCTTACAATCATCTCTCCCACACTGGAGTGTTCTGAGGGCCGCAAGGCATATTTGGTGTCTTGGCACACTCACTGCATAGTATTGAGGAAGCGATCCCTAAATATTTGTGGAATCAATGAGTAGGTAAGTATTCCATATATATTTCACTTTTTGCTGATCTGACTTGTTAGATAGGGGCTAGCTTGCTTATATTATTCTCACAATTTTCCAATAATATACAAAAGTTTGTTTTAATAGCTCCAAAGAGACTACATTTGCTAGGATGGTTACTGCAGGAAAATTTCTAAGTTTATATGCCTATCTAGCCCTTTCTCTTGAACTCTAATATGTATCTAACTTCCTAGTAGAAATGTCCACTTGAATATAGACTTGAATACTTGTGGCATCTGCAACTGAACTCTTCAGCTTTCCCAGCACACATGTTCCTTCCCCAGTGGATCCCATTTCAATTGGTAACAACTCAGTATCTGCAGTTGTTTGGGCCAAAACCTTCTGAGTTATTCTTGTCTCTTCTTTCTCCTTTCTCCTACACATCATCTCATCTGTCTGTAAATCTCATTATTTCTACTTTCTTTTTTTTTTTTTAAGATTTTATTTATTTACTTGAGAGAGACAGAAAGAGAGAGAGAGAGCACATGAGAGGGGGGAGGGTCAGAAGCAGACTCCCCGCCGAGCAGGGAGCCCAATGCGGGATTTGATCCTGGGACTCCGAGCTGAAGGCAGTCACAACCAACTGAGCTACCCAGGCACCCCTTATTTCTACTTTCTATAGAGAGAGAATCCATCTACTACCACTGCACTGGTATCTTGGCCACTCTGGCCCAAGATGCTATGATTGAATGCTCCCCTAAATTACTGGACTAGCCCCGATAACTGGTCTCCCTGCTCCCACCCTTGCTCCCCTATAGTGTATTCTTAGCACGGAAGCCACAGGGACCCTTTAAAATACGTCAGATTACTCCTCTGCCGGAAACCCCCACTGGTTTTCCATCAAGTTTAGAATGAAATGCTAAGTCATTTCATTAGCCCATTAAGGCCCAAGGCCCTAATCTAGAACCCAGCTCCTCGTCTTGTCTTTTCCATTTTTCCTACTACTCTATCCCTACACACTTTGCTCCAGCCACACGCTTCCCTTTGCTCCCTCTCAAAAACAGCCAGCACCTTCCCTCCTTGGGGTCTTGGGGCTTGTTGATCCTTCTGTATGGTATGCTCCTTCTCTAGATATCTGCAGATTCTCTTCCTCACCTTCATTAGTTAGGTCTTTGATCAGATGTCACTTTCCACCTTATTTAAAAGTGTAACTCTCCCTAGACCTCACCCCAGTAATCCCTTGTTTTTTTTCAATCCATACACTTTCATTATTTAAAATATTATATTTCCTTGTTTATTTTGTTTCTTATCTGTCTCTGCCCACTAGCATGTGAACCCCATAAGAAAGGCAGGATTTTTTCCTATTTTCTTCACTGCTATATCACTAGTACCAAGAATGGAGCTTGGGATACAATAGGTGCTCAATAAATATTTGTTGAACAAAAGAAACGATGAATAAGGGCA